GTGTAGGAGTGAGGGTAATAAATGAGGTGGTTATGGAGGGGGGTGAGAGTTCTGTGTGAGGGGCCTGTGGAGAAGGGGGTCAGCACAGAGGAGGGATCAAATGGGCTGGTGCAGGGGGACAGGTTCCTGGGTAGGCACAGGGCTGAGGGATGGGGGGCAGCTCCAGTGGGGGGGTCAGGGAGTGGGTTTTGGGTGCTGTGGAGTAATTGAAGGTGGGACATACAGAGGGTGAGGAGGAGCAAGGTACTTGGGCTGCAGCAAGTTTTTGGAGCCTCCCTTGAGGGGTTGCTTCTGGGGTGGGCTGGCAGCACTGGGGCTGCCCACTGGCAAGTGCTCTTGGCTCATCTCTTTTGGGAGGCTCAGTGTTGCTGCTGGAGGGGGTGATGGACATCCCCTCAAGCCTTTGAGCTGGTAATGTGAGTAACAGCCTAGGGGAAAAGTAGGAGAACAGTTTCCAGCCTCCTTGAAATGCTTGGATTCTGTGCTCTTGTCTGATATTTGTAGAAATGAGGTCTGAGGGGGCTGCAGGTGACAGTAGGAGGGTGTCAGCTGGGTTTCTCACTAAATAAGTGTCACAAACCAGCCCTTTTTAAGCACCTGAATGTTTCCTATGAAATAGGTGTTCACAGGCACCACACAAGCTCGTTCCTGGCTGGGGTGTTCTGTACCTTGAATGTACTGAACCAACTTGTAACACCTCAGTTGTTCCAAGTCAAACTTCACTTGCACCACACAATTCTGAGAAAGTGCTTCCAGTTGAATGCAGGTTTCAGTCTGCCCTTGAAACTCTATTTGTAATCAGTGTAATATCTAATGTGTGTAAGCAAGGGTTGGGTTCAGCAGCAAACTGTGGAGGTGATTCCCCCTTGAACTGGAGCTTTCTAGTTCCAGAGATCTGCACTTGTGTCAAACTAAGGCTGGTATGATCCAGCGGATGTTTCAAAAGGATTTTTTACTTTCAGGCACTTGCACAGCTCAAATATTTTCTGCTTTTCCTTATAACAGAGGTGCCCTATAAAGAAAAAACCCAGAATATCCAGACTCAGAATCTAAAATATTAGCTTGGAGCTCAGCTGATGCACCTGAGGAGGTGACGGCTTCTTGATTCAGTTTTAATGCCTTTTCTTTAGCCAAAACCTGTTTTCTGCAGAGCCTGGGGGGTAGCTGATGCCATGATGAGACTGTGGGGACTGTGTGGTTGTTTTCTGTGTGCTCATTCCATATTCATACTGTCGGAATCTGTGACTTATTCCAGATTTAGATGTCTCAATGGATACGTGGAGCTACTTCCGTACTTGCCTGGCGTCCATATGGCTGCACAGATTTTACATCTACTCTGCTCTTGCTTTGGGGATCAGCCTTTGGATTGTCACTCAGTTCACCACCACCAAAACCAAAAAGAAGGTAACTGAACCTGTCAGCACTTTTGTCTGAGGACACCCCAAAACCCCGTGAGTGGAAGTGAGGAGCTGCTGGGTGAAGGCACCCAATGGTGCAGTGAAATGGGCCCACCCAGAGTTTTGCAAATCCCAAATGCTCTTCATGTGGATATAATGCTCAGTTTGGATTCTTTTATGTTTGAGAGTCACTAAAAGCCCCTGTTGCTCTGATTTTGGAGCAGATCTCAGCTGGACACTTCTCACGTTGTGTCTGTCACTCCAAGGAAATCCCTCTGCTTGTGCCCGGTGTTTTTACCTTTGTGTTTCCAGTGATGGCAATGACAAGGTTGGACTGACTGGTTTTAGGATGGGAGTGGGATTGTGCCGTTCAGGAATTGAAAACCTCCTCCTGCAGGTGGTTGAAGTTCTGCTGCAGGAGTCTGGGAGGCTCAGCTGGATCCTTTTATCTCCCAGATATTGGAGCATGGCCTGGGTCAGGGAAACACTTCCTGCTGTGTTTGTCTGGGTGTGAGAGGAACCCAAATGCTGTTGCATTTGTGCAGTGCTGACAGTCTGGCCACAGGATTTGAATTTTAAATGCTTTTGGTTTGACATCACTTGCAGAGGGGATGGAATTTGACACAGCTCCTGTTTCATAGGGTGAAAAATCCAGTGGGAATCCCACTTCCTCCAAAGGAACAGAAGACAAGCTGGTAAATGGATGTGCCACCCCTCAGGCAGAGGAGGTGTATGTTGCTGGGGTAAAGATCTTCTATGGCTCTCAGACTGGCACAGCAAAGGTATCAGTTACTTTTGTTCCACATCTGTGAAATAGATCTGAAATATCATTGGGATTCAAGTATGTTGCTTGTCTTAAAACACTGCACTGGGTACAAATCTGAGAGTTCATTAGGAGGTTCATTAGCTCATTACAAGTCATTGCCCAACACAAAAGATAAGTGAAAATTCTATAAAAATAACATTTCCCCCCCTCCTTTTAAGTGGGGCCTGCAGGATATTGATTATGAAGCTTCAAGTTTACTCTTACAGTATAATTTTAGTTTGCCAGCAGGTCTTCATAGAAAGAGGTGCTGGTTTTGGTGCTTCCTCAAAAAGAAATGCCATTTGTGTATGGAAATGTAAAGCCATTAAAATTCATGGGAGCCTCAGCCAGTTACTTCATGTTTTTGATGTGAGGAGTTACAGGCCCAGTGTCCAGGTCTCAGGTGTTCTTCCTGTGCTGGGAGAGGTTTTGTGGCTGAGCACAGCAGGGCTGGTGTGGGTTGAAGGAATTGGTAACTTCCTCTATGTTTCTTTTTTCCAGAGATTTGCCAAAGCTCTGGCTGAAGCTGTTACTTCCCTTAATTTGCCTGTGGAAGTCATTAACATGGGAGACTATGACCCAGATGATTGTTTAGCAGAGGAGGTGGGTATGGCATAGATAGGAATAATAAATACAAGTTTTTTCCTGGGATTCTCAAGGCTGTTTTCCTCATTTATTTCTCTCCTGTTCTCCTGGAAATCCTCAAAGCTGTGTGTTGCAAATTGTTTCCCTGCTACAAAAGCAAGTGTAACCCATCAGCCCTCAGCAGAAAATACCAAAATTTTGGAAATTACTGGGAAAGCATCACATAGAACATTTTGAAGCTGACAGTGACCTTGTATGAGCCAGTTCTGTAACTCAGGGGTGACAGTGGCTGCACCAGGTCCCCTGTTCTCTGTGTGCACCTGGGGAAGGGTTTAAAGCCAGAACAAGCAGCTGGTGATGCTTCTGCAGCTTTTATAGGCTTACAAGTTAGAAACTCCTTGTGAGGTGTTTGGAGTAACCCTTGATGGGTTTTTCTTCTGTGAATATTGATAGTTTTAATTAATCCTAACAAAACTTTTTGGTTTTATCTCCCAGTATGTGGGAACTGTGTGTTGGAAGTTCCTGAGGTGGAAGTTTCAGTGTGAGTTGTCAGCACTGGATCCTGCCCCTAACAAACCTGGAAATGGGAGGTTGGGAAGTTTTAGGTCTTTATCCATGGGGGACTTTGTGGTGAAGGAGTCTGTAGTTTTAAATATTTATCCATGGGGGACTGTGGTGAAGGAGTCTGGTCAGGAAGCTGCTGAGTGGGGAAGGAGTAATGGATACAAATTGAAAGAGGGGAAATTTAGTTTAGATATTAGGAAGAAATTGTTTTCCTGTGAGGGTGGTGGAACACTGGCCCAGGTTGCCCAGGGGAGCTTGTGGATGCCCCAACCCTGGAAGTGTTCAAAGCCAGGTTGGATAAAGCCTTGAGCAACCTGGTCTAGTGGGAAGTGTCCCTGCCCATGGCAGGGGGTTGGGACTGGATGATCTTTAAGGTTCATTCCAACTCCTTAACACTGTATGATTCTAGGAAGATGTCCCATTCTGCTCACTGTGTCCCTGTCCAGGGGACAGGTCATTCACCACCACTGGGATTGTCACCTGCACCATCCCATCTTGTCTTTTGGTTCCTTCCAGCTGCCTCTTTTCCTGATGTCAGGGGTTTTTGATAACGCAGTGATCTTGTCTCTCCTGTTGTGTCCCTGTGGGCAGACAACCAGCAGGAGCATCTGTGTGTTCCTGGTGGCCACGTACACGGATGGGCAGCCCCCGGAGAGCGCGGCCTGGTTCTGCAAGTGGCTGGAAGAGGCAGCCAACGACTTCCGCGTCGGGAAAACCCACCTGAAGGGGCTCAGATACGCCGTGTTTGGCCTGGGGAACTCGGTGTATGTGGATCATTACAACACAGTAAGTGTGGCCCCTGTCCTTCCTTCTTGGTTCCTGCTCCTCTGAGAGCCTCAGTTGGATGAACCGCTTCAAAACTGAGCGGTGCTGGTGGATTGGGTGGGAATTGCAGCTGTTGGCAGACTTGAGGGACTGGGTTTAGGGCACAAGTAGAATTACAGGATCATCGAGGTTGGAAAAGACTTCCAAGATCATTGAGTCCAACCTGTGCCCGATGCTAACCCTGTCCCCCAGCCCAGAGCACTGAGTGCCACCTCCAGTTCTTCCTTGGACACCTCCAGGGATGGGGACTCCAAACCTCCCTGGGCAGCCCCTGCCAGTGCCTGACCACCCTTTCCAGGGAGAAATTCCTCCTGATATCCAACCTGACCCTTCCCTTGAGGCTGTTTCCCCTTGTCCACCCTTGACACTGGAGGTGTAAGTGTCCCCCAGGCACTGAGCAGGTTGGGCTGGGTCCATCTCAGCATCATGGTCTGCTGAAACCTCTGAGTGGGGAGGAACCATGGGTGGGGTGCAGTGTTGCAGTCTGACGTTCCTCTGGGGTTTTCCACTTCATGTTTGGGTTATGGTCCTTGACTTCTGGGTTTTACAGCTTTAAGGATGCCAAGATGCAGTGTGAGAAGCTGCAAAGGATGTGCTCAAACCA